GTATGGAAAGTTTGGCTTGTGGTATTTAGAGTTTGAAGGGTAGATCTGAGGTTGCACCTAGATCTGGAATGGAGAAGGTCTAGGGTGCATTAAAGTCCCTATTATTGAATGATTGGTGAAGCCATCTTGTCCCAAACCCTAGCCCTAGAGTGTAAAATGCCTAGATCTCTTTGGATTCACGTAAAGTTTGCCACTTTACGTGATGGAAGGGTTGTAGAAGGTAGATCTACGTTTTGGATCAATTGCATGACCTGAAAGGTTCTGTATGGGTTAAGAACAAGTGGTGTGACATCCCCAAAATCTCGGCCAGAAAAGACCGATTTTCATTTATGCTTTTAAAATAATTTCAGAGTAAATCCTTTTGATTTGAAAGAGTTGCGGAATTTGTTCCCAAAAACAAAACATGATAAAACAATGTTTACCAAAGCATTTCATAAAAGAAATGTATTTTCATTATATAATCAAAACTCGGGGTGTCATGTTCCGATACAGACCAATAAGCATAAACGATACATTACAAGTCATTCAACAAATATATACATATACAGACTTGTAAACAAAACAACTTGATGGTTCATCCATCTTATGCCCTTGCGCCACTTCCTGTAATACAAATAAAACTGAGTGGGTCAGGCTTGGGAGCCTGGTGAGCATATAGGGTTTTCAACCCACAATAAATAATTAAATTAATTATTATCAACCAACAATAACCCAATTACCCATTCCCGTTATTCTCACTTTATGTCCCTAAAATAACTAACACAAGGGACCTAGTCTAAGAATATTTCATCGGGGTGACAACACATGCTTCGGGGGTTCCTCAGCAATATAAGTCAAATAAGGCAACCATGAGGGGGATGGAATACAGCGAATGAACACCCAAGTTCATTAACACCTACAGGTTATGAGCCTGCTAGCGTTCCACTGGACTGTCTAGAAAAGCCGTGGTCGTCATCTAAATTCCGCTAGATGACTGGATCAAAACAACATCGAGGCCTCTCATCTGTTTATTACACACCAACTATCTACCCATGTTCTACCCAACATATTAGTAGATAAAAATATATATTTTATACATAGTTTAAAACCTGCATAGCATTCTCATTCAATACATATTCCAAAACAACAGATGAGACACATACACATAACACGTATTTCATAGAGAATAAATCATATCTATGAGATAGAAGAAAGTGAATATACATTCACGCATATAACAACAAAATATACACATATCTCGTATTTTATATTAAATACTTGATAATTATGCGTTAGAAGAAAGTAACCACACACTCACACATATAAACAACAATATACTTAGTACACTCAAATCATACTTGTATTATTATCGTGTTTATGAAAGGTAGTATACACTCACTTGATCAGAAGATGATCGGACAGCACTACGACTTGCAAAAGTAGTAATCCTCAGCAGATCTGGAAGATCTCTACAAAAATCGAACTTCTCGCGGGCAGAGCTTCGGCTCGGAAACCGCACTTCTCGGGATCTTCGGGATCTCGGGACTTGCTTCGGGACTGGAATATTATCGGGGCTTCGGGGTATTTCTGGCACGCAAAACGATGCAAAACGGGAGAGAGAAGGGAGAAAAATAGCAAAGGAGCCGGCTGCCCTCGCATCCTATTTATAGGAGGCTGATGCCTCGCAGTACGCGGGGCGTACTGCCTCCGAAACGTCACTGCATGCGTCATCCGAAGTCCTCGAGTGCGAGTGTCGACATCCTTCGTCGTACGCGGGGCGTACTCCGGATGAGTCCGGTGACTCGCCTCCGGATAATACCGAGGTTTTAAAATTAATTTTAATTATTAATTATTTAATAAACTTCGAAAATTCATATCTTCCTCATACGAACTCCGTTTTCGACGTTCTTTATATCCACGCGAAGGTGAGACTACGCTCTACAACTTTCGTTTAGACTCCGTCGGCTAATTTTGATTTATTTTATTATTTATTTTTAATAGGCCGGGACAGAAAATTTCGTTATAAATTCATAACTTCTTCGTTTGACGTCCGTTCTCGCCTAACTTTTTATCGCTTTGATACTAACAACGAGATCTTCGATTCTCGTTTAGATCACTAAGGTTAAATATCGCTCTAACGTAAATTTCACTTTTTACGTCATTCAGCGTTGCCGGTTCTGTCGCGAAACTTCGACAGGTCATAACTTCTTCGTTATAACTCGGATTTCGGCATTCTTTATATCTTCGGAAACCTTGTTTCAACTACTACAACATTATCTAAAGATATCAAGTTTATTTTACACTTAAATTTTGACGCTTATTTTTATTCTTAATTAATCAAACCACATAATTAAGCAATTAAGCACAAAACACATAATACTCAAATAATACACTTCTATTATTTCAAAACGGGTTACAAAGGTTAACCTAGACTATTACATTGCTAAAAATGGCAAGCCCAGAAACACAGGCGTTACAATTCTCCCCACCTTAGGATGATTCCGTCCCCGGAATCACACCTCAACAAACAAATGCGGATAGCGACCCATCATGTCACTCTCCGTCTCCCAGGTGAGATTCGGCCCATTCGTGTGTTTCCATCGGACAAGCACTAACTCGACCATCTTGCGTCGCAACTTCTTAGTCTTTCGGTCAACAATTGCCTCTGGTTCTTCAATCAACCTTTTGTTCTCATCGATTCTCAACTCCGAAAGTGGAATCATGTCGGGAACTTCCCCCGTGAACTTCCGTAAATAACACACATGAAAAGTGTTATGAATTCCATTCAGTTCTTCTGGTAGTTCGAGCTTGTAAGCTTGGTTCCCAATCCTCTGAAGAACTTTAAACGGTCCAATAAACCTTGGACTTAATTTCCCCTTTTTCCAAATCTTATAAGTCCCTTCCACGACGAGACTTTAAGCAAAACCGAATCCCCAACTTCAAAAGTCATCGGTCTTCGCTTTTTGTCAGCATAACTCTTTTGACGATCTTGAGCTGCTAACATTCTTTCCCTAATTATTTTCAACTTTTCAGCAGTTTGATGAACCATCTCCGGTCCCATAAACTGCTTTTCCCCAGCCTCAAGCCAACAAGACGGCGTACGACACTTTTGTCCATACAAAGCTTGGTAAGGTGCCATCTTAATGCTCGAGTGAAAACTATTGTTATAGGAAAATTCTACCAATGGTAAATGTTCATCCCAATTACCTAGGAATTCCAAGGTACATGCTCTCAGCATATCTTCAAGTGTTTGTATCGTTCTTTCACTCTGACCATCAGTCTGCGGATGGTAAGCTGTACTTAAACATAACTTGGTACCCATTTCCTCTTGTAGACTTTTCCAAAACCTTGAGGTGAAACGACTATCACGATCCGATACAATCGTTAGCGGAACACCGTGAAGTCTCACAATTTCCTTCACATAAGAATTCGCAAGCTTTTCCATAGACCATTTCTCCCTGGCTGCTATGAAATGCGCACTCTTAGTGAATCGATCGACGACCACCCAAATCATGTCGTGACCATTCTTTGTTCTGGGCAGTTTAGTGACAAAATCCATAGCAATATCTTCCCACTTACCCATAGGCACAGGTAAAGGCTCTAAACTCCCATACGGTTTCTGATGTTGTGTCTTGACTCTTGCACAAGTCACACACTCTGCCATATACTTTGCAACATCAAGCTTCATCGTCGGCCACCAGTAGTAGGGTTTCAGGTCCCTATAGATTTTAGTGCTACCGGGATGAATAGAGTACATGGTCTTGTGAGCTTCTTCCATCAGAAGATCTCTGACTCCTCCTATCTTAGGTATCCAAATCCGATCCTAGAACATCTTCAGTCCGCGACTGTTTACACCGAACACCAACGTTTTGCCCAAACGTTCCTCCTTTCAGTTATTCTTTTCAGAAGCTTCCCCTTGAGCTTTCTTTATACTTTCCACAATGGTCGAGACAACTTCAATTCTCAACGCTCTTGGCCTTTTTCTCTCAACATTGACTTTTCGACTGAGAGCATCAGCAACAACATTAGCTTTACCAGGATGGTAAAGTATCTCACAGTCGAAGTCCTTGAGTAATTCCAGCCAGCGTCGTTGCCTCATATTTAATTCTTTCTGTTTGAAGAGATATTGGAGACTCTTATGATCAATGAAAAGTTTGCACTTCGTGCCATAGAGGTAATGCCTCCATATTTTCAGAGCGAAAACTACCGCTGCCAACTCCAAATCATGAGTCGGGTAATTCTTTTCATGCTCTTTCAGCTGTCGAGACGCATATGCTATCACCTTTTCTCTTTGGGTCAAAATACAACCCAATCCAACCCTATACGCATCGCTATAAACAACGAAGTCTTCAACTCCATCGGGTAGAGAAAGTATCGGTGCCTCACATAGCTTCTTCTTTAGCTTCTCGAATGCTTCTTTATGCTTATCATTCCAATCATAAGTAGCTCCTTTGTGGGTCAAAGCTGTCAATGGAGTAGCAATTGAAGAAAAGCCTTGGATAAACCTTCGGTAATATTCGGCTAATCCTAAAAAGCTTCAGATCTCCGTGGGACTTTTCGGTTGTTCCTACTTCATTACAGCTTCAATCTTTGTTGGATCAACCATTATCCCTTCTTGGTTGACCATGTGACCCAAGAATTGGACTTCACGAATCCAAAAATCACATTTGGATAACTTAGCATACAACTTCTCCTTCTTCAAGACTTCTAACACTTCTCGTAAGTGTATGCCATGCTCCTCCTGGCTTTTCGAGTAAATTAGAATGTCATCTATGAACACTATCACAGATTTATCAAGGAACGGATTACAAACTCTGTTCATTAAATTCATGAATGTTGTTGGAGCATTGGTTAGTCCAAACGACATAACCAAGAACTCGTAGTGTCCATATCTAGTTCTGAATGCGGCCTTCTCAATA